TTCAAAAATGCGTCGTAGGCGTATCCGGGCAGACTGACATAATTCACCATGTCGAGATCATACTTTTTGACAAGGGTAGATCTCCACTCGCTGAGCACATCAGCCAGCAGACCCACATCGGCACGAAGATAGCAGTCAGCATAGTCCCCGAGCGTGCGACACTCAGCAGCTTCCCATACCTTGAGGGCGTTGTCGTATTCCTCCTGTGTGACGGTGTCCCCCGTGAGAGAACTATAAAAATGTTCTATCGAGGGGAGGGAGACATCTTCCAGCTTGTTCAGATTGTCTAGGTATTCGTAAGGGAATATTCCTTTCCCTGTCAGGAGTAATCTCTGGGCTTCGGCGGGCAGGTGTTGCACGAGGTGAGATGAGTACTTCAACGGGCGACCGCTCTCTATGTGCGTCCTAGCGAGGGAGCTCAAGCTGGCACTCATAAATGCCATGTTATCCAGAAATTTCAGGTTGTTAATTTCCACAGCGTGGAACCTGAGTCCTTGTTTAACAAGCACGTTTATGTTCAGGTCACCTTCCATTTCTTTCAGCAACAACCCGAGATCGTAGGAATGGTTGTGTGCTATGCACAGCATTTTGGTGCGGTGGTTCCTCATTTGAATGTTACACCTCGCGCAGTATGCCCCGATGTAGTTGTTTCGTTGTTTCGTGTGGTCGTGGTGTCTGTGCTTCTGCTGTTGACCGGGAAACTTCTGATCGCACATTTTGCACGTCTCTGTAGTGTTGTGTATATGTTGGTCTTGATCTGTCATGTGGAGAGGGTAGTAGGTCATGTTTTTTACAATATCCGACCATTTGGCAGACAGGCTCTCGATGGAGTGGGTTGCTGCATCGGCTCCTTTGTATGTAGAGCTATGCACGATGTCACCTCTTCTATCGGTGATGATATAGCCGTAGGCAAATGCCTTGTGGTGTGATATGCACCTGTTTCTAGCATTTGTTTGGTCCATATATGCCTCGAAGTCGTATATGCATATGTGTGATGGGCTGTATGCTTTCCCATAGTTAATAAAGCTGAGCTTGCTTCCGGGTGGTGGGTATGTAATCTGAACGGGCGATTTACACTCTGTCATATGATTATCACCCAGCATCTGGTTTGAGAAGGCCGAGAAACATGTACGACAGAAGTGTTTGTTTGGGGTTCTGCTTCTGTAAGAAAATGAGTCGACAAAACGGTTGAAGTCGGTGATGAGACATGCGTGCTCGTTTTCGAGCAGAAGCAGGTGAAGGAGTAGGCGTTTCTTATTGTCTTCTTTTCCTCTTCGAACTTGTGTCAGAAAGTATTTGTTGTTGTTGTTGTTGTTGTTGTTGCTGGTGTTGCCCTGAGACGTGAACGGTTTTTGCAGACAGTAAACATATAGAGAGAGATTATTTTCCCTTTCCAATTCTCCCAGTGTTTCCCAGCTGGTTGGGAGTTTTTGCGCATCATACTTGATGTGCCGTGCACATTTAGTCTGCGTATCAACCTCTCTCGCAAGCCTCTTTTTGCATTTTCCGTCTGACAGCAGTTTTCCGGCGGCAAGGGATCTTATCACGCAATCCGTGTCCCCAACAGGGTTGAAGATGTACCTCTTCCCTCTAACCTTTGCTGGGAAGGGTATGTATTTCCCTATGGCTTGAGGGACAAGAATTCGTGATATGGTGATGTCGTGCGATGCAATGGCGTCGAGATCGAGTCCGCTCCCCTCGTCGGTGATCCACTCATCCAGTCGGGCGTCCACCTCCTCGCTCCACCCTCGCACGGTTCTTCTGCATTCCGCCTCTGAAGTAATGATGTAGCTGTGAAGGGTTACACTTTTTTCTATGGTTCTTACTTCTCCTGTCGCGAGGTCGGTTCTGCTGAGAATGAGGGTGAATCCCGTAAACGTCTTGACAGCAGGAGGAGGACACCCGAGAGTGCAACGATAGGCTTGGAGGATTTCAGCGAAATAATCTTCGTTTCTGCGAAGGTATTCGACAGGATCGGGCTGGTCGCGACCTGGGATGCTAAAACCCAGCCTTTATGCATGCTCCTCGGAATAGCTCATTACGGGAAATAATGTGAGGTGATACCGCATCGTCATCGTCGTTATCGTCATTGCTGTCTTCACTGTCTTTGCTGATGCAGTCTCCGAGCTTAATTCCGCGGGTGTGAACTCGTTCCTGTTGGCATCGGGAGGGTCCGGGGCGTGGCGAGGGAGGCCTAGAGCGAGGGCGTGACGGACCCGGCTGAGGTGATTGAGCACTCTGACAGGCGAGAGGGTTTGGTTGCAGCGGAGCTTCGTCAACTTCAGGATGAGACGGTGCTGGGTGTGCATTCCCTGCAGTGAAAAATAGATCGTTTATCATTATAAAAATCGGAATCAATATTGCTATTAATGATGTTATTTTACATATATTTACGTACTTTGTTGGATGCTTACCTTGCAAGGAGGATTGAGGAACGATCTTAACACCTTTAGACGCCTTTCCTGCGCCGGCTGCAAGAATTCGAACAAATTATTATATTTACTTTGGTGATATACTTAAATAGACTGCAATAGCATTATAAACTAATGGATTTCTTATATGTTTTACACTTGATATGATTTATCTTACCTTGGTAACAGCGTTGTCGGTGGTGGTGAAGTCTTGTTGTAGGAACGTAAAGATTGCACTTTGGGCAGAGCAAGCAAAGGTGGTTTTGGACTTTTGACCGCAGTATTGACAGAAGCAATCAGTTCGAGCCATGGTAATCACTTTCACAGAGGAGGCGATACTAGTGTTTGGAAATGCCAAAATCCCTCTTTATATACCGGAGGATGGGTTTTGTGAGAGGTTACAGTTGTGGTATTTTTGTGTATGTGTGTGTGTGTGTGTGTGTGTGCGGGTATGAGCGAAATTATCATCTGTGTCTGATATGTAGATAGACATAGAGAGATACATCTCTGAAAAACCTTTTTGTGTTTAACTGTTATAACATGCTGTGGGGGGGGGGTGATTATTTAGTGGTTTTGGCATGAGTTGACACCCTGACAGATAGAGAGGCTGTCGCATGGGATTATGTTACAGTGGGGGAGGGGGGGGGGAAGTCCTCCTCCTCCTTTTCCTCCTCCTCCTCCTTCTCCTCCTCCTCCTCCTTTTCCTTCTGCTCCGTTTATCATCTGTGTCTGATATACAGATATGCAGATAGACATCCCTCAAAATACCTTTTTGTTTTGAACTGTTATAACATACCAGATGGAGAGGTGGTCGCACGGGATTATGTTACAGTGGGAGGGGGGGGGTGGATCGGGAATTTGTATATGATTATCTGTACCTCCTGCGGGGCGTATGTCGGGAGAGAAAACAGTGATTATTTAGTGTTTTTGGCATGAGTTAACACCTTGACAGATGGAGAGGCTGTCACACGGGATTATGTTACCATTCTCCTAGTAGAAAGTCCTCTTCCTCCTTCTCCTTCTCCTCCTCCTCCTTCTCCTCCTGCTCCGTTTATCATCTGTGTCTGATATACAGATATGCAGATAGACATCCCTCAAAAAAACTTTTTGTTTTGAACTGTTATAACATGTTGAGGGGTTACACCTGACCGCATAAGTAGGTCACATAAGTACGTTAAACAAACGGAAGGCTGTTAAAGGGCGAGGGGTGGGGGTGGGGGTGGGGGGTGTTCTAACCGTTTTTTTTTTGGGGGGGCGGGGGGGGCTAACCGTTTTTTAGGTGGTCATTTTGTCCTAGTTGCATCTACTTATATATATATATATATATATATACATTTACACATATAATATATACATATATACATACATACATATGTACATGCATATATATATATACATATATATATACATATATATATATATATATACACACACATGCGTACTCACGCACTCACACACATGCACACAAACACACACGCGCACACACACACACACACATACACACACACATACGCACGCGTGCACATTTATATATATATCCATTTCCCACACAGACACACACACATGTGTGTATGTATATATATATATATATGTAATATTATATATCTTTCTCTCTCTTTCTCCCCCCTCCCTCTTTCAATATACAATGAAAGATACAGAGAGAAATTTCAAGATACAATAAAAATTATAGAGAGATATTTCAAAATACAAGGGAAGATACAGAGATTTCAATATACAAAGAGAGATGTTGAGACACAGAAAGCTGCAGAGAGAGAGATAAATGGAAAAATATACTGCATAATAGCCTGGGATATAAAACTCGTGTATTTGTTTCTTTTTATTTTATCCTCAACTTCTTATTTCGTTTTCGCCTTCTGTTTCTCTCTAACTCATTTTCTTTTGCTACACTTTCTATCTTGTATTTCTCTTACTCCTCTCTCTTTACCCTTTCTCCTGCACTTTTCTCTTCAATTCGTTCTTTTTTTGTTCCTTTTTCACTTCATCTATCTTCTGTTTATCTCACTTCATCTTAGTTTTCTCGTGTTCCTCTTTCGCCACTTCATTCATCTCCTGTTCCTCTCTTCGCCTTGTCATTCCCCTGTTCTTCTCATATTGACCCTATCTTCTTCTGTTCCTTTCTATTCTTTATTTTTTCTGTTCCTCTCTCATCGTCTTATCTTCGCCACTTCATTGGTCTCCTCTCTTTTCACCTCACCTTTTCCTCTTTTTTATTTCTCTCTTTATTGCATCGTTCTCCTCTCTTTACTCCCTCCCCCTTGATTAATATCAGAAACATCCCTCGTTGTTATTTTTGCCGTTCTAATACACTTTAGGAAAAAAACACATTTGATTCTTCTTTCACTTGCTTGAATTGTTTATGTATATTTGTTTTAATAGCACTGCTGTCTTCATCCTCATTTTCTTTATTTTTCATAATCATTACTATTATCCTCGTAAAACAGCATCATTAGTAGTGGTGAATGTCATGAGAATATTAGCATGTCGAAGGAAGAACAATTTCACCAAACGATGTCCGTCCGAGCCCGTGTAGAGAGGCACTCGGTTTCACAAGTGCCAGTGCCAGGAAACACACCAGACGTTGCACATCTCTTTCCCAACGAGTCATGTGGATGGTCCTTCTTTTCGCGCTGCCGTTGGTCCTTGATTCTTTTCAGGCGACTAGATCGGCGGACGCAAGAGAACAGGAAACAGTGAACGCCGAGGAGCAGCGGTATAAATTTTTGTTGCATCAGATCCACGGCATGGTGCAAAAGCTTCTTTACGAAAAGGAGAGGCACTTCAATGAGAGCATCGAGGCACTGACGCAGTTGGTGGAAACTTCCTGTCGTTCGCAACCTGGTAACCAAACCACCGGGTCGATAGGTTTGGCTGATATTGAACGTACAGCAGAAGAGATAACAAATGTTTTCTTAGTGAGATTAACAGCCACGCATATTAGCATTTTCGAAGATATAAAGGCAAAATTAACAGCCATGGCCACTGACATAATGAAAGAGATAACGGCGCAGTTGCTAGGCATGGCGAGTGTGCATGACCTAGCGGGGCTTCAAAGCCAGGTGTCGACTCTTGCAACCTCTGGGGCTCTGAGTGACTTGCAGAAGGACCTGTCCCCTTTCGCCTCCTCCGCAACAGAAGACATCAAACAGGCGGTGTCCAGACTGGCTTCCGAGGTGGACACAGGCATGAAAAACTTTGCTACTAGTAATCAAATAACAGAAATTCAGGAAGAACTTGACAGTGTACCACTTTGCAACCTCAGGAATGACTTTGACCGAGTGCTGACATTGCTGTCGACGAATAAGGAGGACATTGGCGATCTGGATGAGACTTTACGAGCATCTCTGGCAGAGCAGAAAGCCGCGTGCCAGGGCGGGGCTGAGCGCCAGGAGAGCGCGGCCGGCCTGGCGCAGCTGCTGGAGAGCCTGCGCGCCGCGGTGGACGGCAACGCCGACAGCATCCGCAGCGTCGCCTCCGCCGTGGGGAAGCTGCAGGGCGAGTTCGCGGCGCGTCTCGGGGCCCTCGAGGAGCTGGCCAAGAAAATCGACAACAACACGCTGCTTCCTCCAACCACAACCACCACTACCACCACAACCCCGAGACCCACGACGACAACAACACGTAAGCTTATATGTCTATCTACATCTCTCTCTCTTTCACTGTCTTTATATATATGTATATATATATATATATATATATATATATATATATATATTCATATATATACATATGTGTGTGTGTACACACACACACACACACACACACACACACACACACACACACACACACACACACACATACACACACACACACACACACACACACACACACACACACACACACACATATATATATATATATATATATATATATATATATATATATATATATATATACAGGTATGTATATATAGCATATATGTATTATATATAGTACATATATATATATATATATATATATATATATAGAGAGAGAGAGAGAGAGAGAGAGAGAGAGAGAGAGAGAGAGATGGTTGGTGATATATATAAAAAATAAAATACCTATATCAAAATCAATTAGCAACAGTATATACATGTATATGTGTATATGTATATATATATACACACATGCATATATACACATGTAAACAGATATACAGATATATGCATATATTATATATATATATATATATATATATATATATATATATATATATATATATATATAATATATATGTGTGTGTGTGTGTGTGTGTGTGTGTGTGTGTGTGTGTGTGTGTGTATAGTATAAATATATATATGCATGTATATTTATGTGTATACGTATATACATATGTATATATATATATTTATGTATACGTAAATATATGATATGTATTTATATATACACATGTATTATTTTCTTTTTCATTTTAAATCTTTCCTCACCCCGCCTCCTCGCCATCCGCCACAAGCCTTTTACGAGTGGGAACAGGTGATGACCCTAGTAGGTAGGTAATTAGCACATCGGGGTAATTACCTACCTAGCTGAGTCCGCACAGGGAAGCGGATACGTTGGACACTTAATTAACGATCTCCAGAAAGGAAAAACTATTTTCTGAGGTATTGGTTAGATGTGCAGTCAGACAATTAGTATTGTTACCCTTTTCACAAACTAATATGAAAAATCGACTAAGTGATGTGGAATAGTGAGACCTGGTGGTTAGTACCGCAATGAAGTGTTAATAGAGCGTTCAGTTTCCCATTGAACACAAATAAAGGTAACGGCAGTTTTTTTCTGGTTGCACAGCAATGTGAGACAGTGGCTTCCAAGCTTATTTGTGCAGAGATAATGCATGTTTGTTTTCTTCTGTACAGCTCTAGAAACGACCATTGTTTATGTTATCACGCCAGGATATTTGTTTTTGTACTGTAATAAAGGTGAATTGATTACAATACATAAAGTTATATTATTTTTCACTTACTTGTATTTTTATTATGAATATGCTTTACGACTACCCTAATATGTTAAAACTTGAGGGAAGCTCGCAAGCCTGTGAATCGCCCAAGAACGTAATTAACTCGTCAAACTCGCCATACTATGATTTGTGTGCGCGTTAGTGTGTGTGTGTGTGTGTGTTAGTGTGTGTGTGTGTGTTTGTTAGTGTGTGTGTGCATGTGTATGTGAGTGTGTATGTGTGTGTGTGCGTGTGCGTGTGTGTTAGTGTGTGTGCGTGTGTGTGTGTGTGTTAGTGTGCGTTAGTGTGTGTTAGTGTGTGTGTGTTAGTGTGAGTTTGTGTGTTAGTGTGTGTGTGCGCGCGCGCGTGCATGTATGTTTGTGCTTGTGTTTACTTGAAGACAATAAAAAGGTATACTAAGCACATCAACGAATCCTTTTCAGTGCACTGTATTCTCATTATGGAGATATAGTGAGAATACAAGATAAACTACATGTTAAGAGATCTTAAGGACTCATGAACATCATCGTATCATTACCTATACTCTTTTCATCCCCCCCCCCTCCATCCCAGTCATACGTCGGTGGGGTAAAGAGTGACTCCCCCCCCCCTTCTCTTGTCAAAGGAGAAAGGCCTATTTACTGTTAAAGACTACTCTGACCTCTATCGCATCTGGTGAGCAGCTGAACTGACCTGTTTATTACCCTCCGGGGACCTGTGACCTCGTTGTGGGGTTGGTTGGGGGGGGGGGGGGTAGGGGGGAGTAAGTAAAGAAGGGAAGGGGGGGGGACATTTTTCCCTACCACGTCATTCCTAGTAATTATAGGTGTAGTCATTCCTGTAACGTTGTAAACAATACCAGGCTCGGTGATACGTGTGTGTGTGTGGGGAGGGGAGGGGGGTGGCTGGGGGAAACATTTTCTTCCTCCTCTCCTTCTTATTATTATTATCATCATCATTATCATTATCATTAACATCACCATTACTTATCATTATCATTATTAGTATCAATATTTTTTTTCAGGTGTGCGTGTTAGAAATCATTAAACCGGATAATTACCTGTCGCGCTAATTATGTCACTTCCGGTTGCTAGTCATTATTATCATTATTTTCATAATTATTTTTATAATAGTAATTGATATTGTTATTATCATTATCATTATTATTATCATTTTATTATTATTATCATTATCATTGTTATCATTATTATTGTTATTATTAATATTATTATTATCATTATCATTGTTATCATTATTATTAATGTTATTATTAATATTATTATTATCATTATTATTATTATTATTATTACTATTATCATCATTATCAATGTTATTATTATTATCATCATCATTAATAAAATCATTATCATTATTATCATTACTACCATCATCATTACTGTTATTATCATTATCATTATCATTATGGCTTTTGAACCATAACCCTCCTCTGACCTCCCCCCCCTCCGCGTGTTGGGAATCATTAATCGCGATAATAACTTGTCGCTCTCATTACGCCACATCCGGGTATTGATTATGCTCACTTCATGTTCCGTCACGTCGTGTATGTATGTACGTGAGCCAAAATGTCCATTATTATACTGTTTACATATAGCCTATTTATGTATATATGTATATATATATATGTATTCATGTGTGTGTGTGTGTGCATATGTATGAATACATATGCACACACACATACACACACAAACACACACACACACATACACACAAACACACATACACACAAACACACATACACACAAACACACAAACACACACACACACAAACACACATATGTATACACACACACACACCCACAAACACACATATGTATATACACACCCACACCCACACACATATGTATATACACACACACGCACGCACACACACATGTATATATATACACACACATCGATATATACATACATACTACTAAGACAACGCTTCCACGTAACTTCAAATACCTCTTCCACCCTTCCAGCGGCGCTTCCTGTGTTCCCTTGCCTCGACAGCAACTTCGCCAGTGCAGGCTTGGGCGTGGAGGTCTGTCGGGCAGCTGTCCGCCTCGGGAAGTGCCAGCGGCTGTCCGTGGCGATCCACTGCTGTCGCTCTTGTTCTGACGCCGGCGAAATTCCTGTCATGGGCGCGCACCGGTTCATCAACTCCAACAGGACGCTTTCTCGGGTCTCGGCGGCGAAGCTGATGAGGCCGTGAGGGCGGATGTGAGGGCGGAAGTGTAAATGTATATGTACTGGGATATGCATATGTATGGGTAGATAGAAAGATAGATTGTTATATATTGATATATATTCATACATACACACAAACAGATACATATACTCTTACGTGAATATATATATATACATATGTATATATACATATGCATACATATATGTATATATACATATATGTATATATACATATACATATATATATACATACATATATATATATATATATATACATACATACATACATTCAAATATATGCATATATACATACATACACATATATATGTATATACATTCAAAAATGTATGTATGTCTATACACATATGTATACTCGAATACATAAATGCATATATATATATATATATATATATATATATATATATGTATATATATATATATATATCTGCGTTTATATATACACATATGTATATATATGTACATATGTGCAAAGATGTATATATGTACATGCATATGTACGGCTGAACATACACATACATATGTGTATATATATACATATGTGTCTGTGTGTGTGTGTGCGCGTGTGTACGCGTGGACGTGTGCGTGTGTGTGTGTGTGTGTGTGTGTGTGTGCGTGTGCGTGTGAGCGTATGCACGCGTGTGCAACTTGCAGTCATTCATATCACACCACACGGCAAACCCCACACGTCCGCTCCCCAAACCATAGCAACATCCGGGTCTCAAAAACGTTTTTGGCCGCCACTTCTCTCCCTGACGAACACTAAAAGTCAATGACTTCGTTCGCTTAAACCTAGCTTATCACTGAAAAGGACGTGCGTTGTTTACGAAACGTTTTGGAATCGAGTGAGTTACTACAGTCTTATCCCTGACTTTTCCGTGTTATTATGTTTGGATCTTTGTGAGTAACAGTCATTTGTTTTTTTGTTGCTTTTTTTCAGATAATCTGACAGTTAATCAGAAAGGCATTTGGAGAGCTGTAACTCTATTATTTAATCTGATCTAATTTTAATCAATCTTCATCTCTCTGTTTTGAATATAAAGGGTCTACCTAACATCCCAAGTCCAAGAATACGAGTAGATTTTACATGATTATCACTCTCTTTATCCTCCTATAATATTTTTATTTATTATCATTTTTCATTTATGTATTTATTTATTTACTGTGGAATCCCGCTTCAGCAAACAATTTCAGGTTGGCTGCCATTACAAGAAATCAGGGAGGTTTTTATCATAATATATCTCTAGTATTATCTGTAACAATGCACATACGTATTTAGACCTACATTATCAATGGTCAAGGATTAATAGTAAAGCATTTCCCAGCTTATATATAAGTAATTGCTCCAAATAAACCTTATGTACATTTGGCGATAGTTGCAATTTTATATTACCAATGATCACATTTCGAATAATGTCACATTACTACTCCTTCGAAATTGTAAAATTGCACATATTATTAAACGTTCAAATTCTCATGGAATATGAACGTGAGTCTGTACTGCTTCACTCTTCATTTCTCAGGGTTGTACTAAAACTGAAGGCGAAAATGCAGCCCATTGTGTTTCAGTATCATACAGGTGTTGAGAGACCAAGAACCACAAACGAATTGGTGTACAAGTGTACTTTTACTTGTATATGAAAGTCTATTAAAAGTGATCATTTGAGCGTAGAATAAATAAATGCCATCTCATTGTTTTTTTCAGTAAATATAAACACAAATATTTACTATACTTTCCTGTGTTAGTGAACAATCTCTGTAAATAATAAAACCAGGGAATTCACCGAGACTTTGGAACGTTTAAACCTAGTTTCTTGACAATCCTTATAAGGGAAAAACACACTGAGTTTATCACAAGTGTTCTTGACTTTTGACCCATCCTCCCTTTTCACTCTTATTCTCTTTGTCGTTAAATATTTGTCTTATTTCCTATTCTTTCCACTTCCCGTTTGTCATTACTCGCTCTCAGCTGTCTCCTACCTCTCTTCCTCTTCCCTTTCCTTCTCTTCCCTTCCCCCTCTCCTCTTTACTTCCTGTCGGCCCCACTTCATTTTCTGTCCTTCCTTTCCTCTCATCTACCTCTTTTTTTCCCTTTCTTCCTCTAAACCTTGTTTTTTTTATTATTTTTTTATATTGCTTATTGGATAAAAAAAGCAAGAGAAGTCACTCAAGACGAAAATACATTCGCAGCAAAACATGTGGACGGTGAAATATAACAGAAAAATAAAATTACAAAAAAAAGGAAAAAAAAATCTTTAAATCTATGTTTATTTAGGCTCTTTACCTTTACCCCTACCCCCCCTTACCAGCCGGCCTTCCTTCGCATCTCTTTTTCTCTTATCTCTCCTTCTTCACGAATCTTGAGAGGACCAGAAGGAGGACAGACTCAAAGGGGCCTCCTTGAGTGAGAGGATAAACAACTCGGTTTGTGCAGCGCCGTTTGGTCGTCTGGGCGAAAGCTGTTGTCCGTAAGTTGTGTTTTCGATCTTATATATATATATATATATATATATATATATATAGTGTGTGTGTGTGTGTGTGTGTGTGTGTGTGTGTGTGTGTGTGTGTGTGTGTGTGTGTGTTATATATATATATAATATATATATATATATATAACAAACCTATATATATAGTAAATAAACACACACACACACACACACATAAATGTATATGCACACACGCACACATTTATATATATGATATATATATATATATGTGTATATAGTGAATATATTTCATTGTATATATAGATATATAGATATAGATAAATTATATATAGACAGACAGACAGAGACAAAGAGCAGACAGGCAGATAGTCATCCATACACAGAGAAAGAAAGAAAATAAAAATAAACAAAGGAAAGTAAGTACAAGCGTACCAGTGGCGTAGCCGGAGCGGGAAGATTGGGGGGGCAAACAAGTAAGAAAAATAGCAGGGGTCCGGGAAT